CCGTCCGTCCGTCCGTCCGTCCGTCCGCCGCCGCCGCCGCCGCCGCTCCGCCCGAGCGCAGCGCCGCGCCGGGCTGGAGCAGACTGCGGGAACCCGGAAGTAGTGGTGGCCATAACAGGTCGCGTCTTACACAATGCGCTGGGCGGCAGCAACTCCGCCACCGGCGCAGGGGGGCGCGCCGCCCGCCCCGCGCCCGCGCAGCGCCGCGGCTCGGACACGCCGCCCCCTCCCGGCCCTGCCCTCCGCGCCCCCCCCGGCACCGCTCCCCGCCTCACGGCGGCCGCGGGGGCGCTCCCGCCGCCTTTGTCTGGCGGCGCCGCCGCCCCGCGCAGCGCCCGCGCAGCGCCCCGGGGTCGCGCCGCCGCCCGGCCCTCGCTCCGCCGCCCGCCTCGCCGGGCGCGCCCCCCCGCGCACCCCCCGCCCCGGCGGCTCCCCCCGCGGCCGCCGGCCGAGTGAGCTCACCCGGCCCCCGGCCGCCGCCGCCGCGCCGCCGCCGACCAATCAGCGCCGCGCCGCCCCGCGCCGCGCCCCCATTGGTCCGGGCGGGAAGCGGGGCTCGGACCGGCGCGCGGGGCGGGGGGCGCCCCCGGGCCCGGCCCGGCCGGCCCCGGCCTTGCCTTATCCCCATCCTTACCCCCACCCTTATCCCCATCCTCGTCCCCATCCCCATCCCTATCCCGCCGTCCCGCGCGGGGCGATCCCCCCCGCCGGTGCCTCCATCCGCCGAGCCGGGGGTCCGCTCCGTTGCGTTCAAAAGCATAGCCATCCCTCCGCGCAGCCCCGCCGGTCCCCGCCGGGCTGGCCGCGGAGAACTCGCCGTGCCCCTACCTGCGGGCCGAGCCCCGAGCGGGGACGGCTGCCCCGACACTAGCGCATCCTCCTCCCGGGAAGGGAGACGGAGAGCCCCCGGTACAGCGGTCCCGGAGACGGAGAGCCCCCGGTACAGCGGTCCCGGAGACGGAGAGCCCCCGGTACAGCGGTCCCGGCTGAGCTGCTGGGCACAACCGGGGAGTGACAGGGGCGTCCCTCTGCTAAATCCCCCGGGGCGCAGGGCACGCTGCTCCGCTGCTGCCGGACCCCCGCCGCCGCGTCTCAAACTTCGGGGAAATCCCTTTCCATCCCTCCCCCCCGCTCCTTTCCCGTCCCCTTTCCGCTAGGACCGGCTTTTTATCCCGGCGAGAGAAACCCAGAGCTCCCAGGTAAGAGCCGTTTTCAGGCACTGACCCCTCACACCCAGCCCAGCCCCGCGCGTGGGGCTCATTTCCGTGGATTTCCCCGGGGAAAAGCGCTCGGTAACGATTCCCCGCCGCAGCGCTCCCTTCTTCCAGGGGGTGGCTGTCACCCAGCTCCCGGGGATGCTTTTCCTCCTCTTCCCATCCTCT